TGATATATCTAATTACCTTATTAAAATTACAATCAAGTTATAATCGTTCGCTAATTTCTATTGATGGTAACAACATGTGTATTGTATAAGATTGGCATATCGTTCATAATCATTCGTTAATTTCGTTGATAGTAAGAACGCAGTCGTTATACAAAACTTCTAATTGTACACGTACCATTTGGCGAAGTTTACGCGAATACGAATGTCCTCATTAAATAATAACATAAATACAAGAATGATATGTACTATTTATTTAACAATTATTACACTGCTATGATATTGTAGCAAGTATCTACGTGGTAACAATAAGTAAATAATAATCACATTTATCTTGAGAAATGCCATATTATAACAGTCGTGTTACAACAAACAATGAACAATCGCACGATATTTTACGGTACAAATATTAACATTAACAACAGATTCTCTATATTCAAAATTATTAACACACCGGCTAAAAGTAATGCAACTTTTTTTATATAACAAATTGCGATATATTTTAAAGGAGTCTATATGTTTAGTAAATAACGTATGTTCTATATTGAAAAATAATTATATTTTTATATTATTGATAACAATTATTCAAAAGAAATATTTTTTAATTTTTGAGTATACACGTTGTCCCAGATTCGTAAAAAGCATGCTAGAGGAACATGTCCTAAGATCTAACCCCCACATACATCACATTTTAATGACATGATTATATCTGCGTACATCGTGATTAATTTATTTTATAAATTTCTTGATAAATTGAAATGTGCAATATCAAATCATTTCATGTAGAAGTAATGAAAACTTATTACACTGTATTTTCATGGAAGTTTTATTTCTAAAAAAGATTAATCAGAATTGAGTTTTGTCGCTTGTCAATGATGCATGTAATGAAATACGGTTACAAATGATAAGATGATTTTTTGAGCCGCGTGATATCGTGGTGTCAGACCGAGTGGTTGTTGCCGCAGTGCGTAAAAGCGATTGACTTTGGCGCCAATGCAACCTTGGCAGTGATCAAGTTCACTCGTACGAGTTGAGTTCTTAAGACCTTGCGTCCTCAACCTTATCTATAATACTGGTTCAGGCTTTAAAACCATGATAGTAAAATCGAGATTTACGTTTAATGGATCGATGATCATAAAGAGCAACACGTTTTATTTATTTCATTTATCGTATCCTACGAATGTAGTAAATTAAGCAAAAAATGAAAATATTTTATTACACGTCAATACTTTTTAAGAAGATACGAGTGCACTTTGTATTTAATTTTGAAAATAATTATATTTAATATTCTAATCTAATTATCCCATATCTTATTATATAATTATGCTACACAATTTTAAATATAAAATACTATTTGCATGTTAAGAAAAAATGCATGCAAATAAAATTTGTCAAATAAAAGATGTTGAAAGAATTAATGTACTGTAATATTGTAATCGCACTACGTATTTCCTACATCGTATTTGACTAATTATTAAAGTGAATTAGTATAATAAAATAATTGATTATTAAAATGAATTAGTTAATTCTCGTTTGCGCGTGTGTCAATAATTATTTTTCGCAGTCTCATTTGCATAATCGGTAAATATATGATGATATAGCAGTATATACTTATGCAAGTCTTATTAATACTTTGGCAGCTACACTAAAATTATATAAGAAGAGAGAACTGTCTTCTCTGTAAAAATATCTACTAATTATTTTTCTTTTTTAAGGTCGTCTTTTAATAATATCCATTATTTAGAAAGCAGAGATTTTCTTATATGTTTGATTTAGGAAGATCACCGTTGACACATTAAGCTAATTAAACTCATCTAATACTCAATAAATGACATTACGTCGAGAGAAAATTATGGAATATCGCTGTTCTTTCGTGGGAATTCGTTACTTTCTACACTTCTTGATTCAGGATAATATACCCTAACTATAACCGGATTGTCTGATCAGCCGATCGCCTGTCGGACGATCCGGAGTCGTTGCATAGACAGTTGCACGGAGGGACACTGTCAACATGAGCACCGTTTGTCGTGTCGGTGTCCCGGCACTGTATGAGCCTGCGCCCGGATGACGTCCGTCGAGGATCCAGCCGACAGTCAATAGGCGGTCCTCGACTAGACATCACCAGGAGCATCCCGCTCGCGGAATAGGTGAATCCTCGCGGTACATACATTCTCTCATATCTGATATTGGGAATCACACTTGTGGAATTGCAATAACGATCGGAACTCTGTGTGCGCGTGTATGTCAATGTTAATAACTCTGCTCATGATTTAGAAAACATTAGCATCTAAACACCTCAGTCAAAAGGAATTTGAAAATGATTAAAATAATCATATGTCATAAAAAGAATTTATCGAGATATGTACTATGTGTAAAGATATTTCATAGTTATAATAGTAAAGCAACTCTTCTTCGTTAAATATTTCAAAATAGCGTTGTAATACAGATTTTAACGTTGTCATGTGATATGTAATATTTGCTGATAAACCGTGGCGTTAAAAAAAATCTTAAATAATTAAAAGTAGCGTATATATGAGTGATGACAACTGATTATTTCAGATCGTGCCACCGACGAGTCTTACAGGTGTCATCTCTCCAGAATCATTGTCTTCGAGCACTCGTAACCAATTAAGCAAATTGGTGTATACGTGTGAGTGTGCGTACAATGCACCGAGTACGATCGATGTAATCGCAGCTGTTTTATGTATATATTATACATTGCCTCGTCCGAATATTACCATTCCGTTTTCAGCGATAATTTTAAATTTAACATTCTCAAGTAAATGCTTTGCGTAATTATAAACAGCATTGACAGTATACGACTTAATATTTGTCCTATATAAAACTCGCTATTGATTTTTCTTTTATCGATCGCTCTTGCGTCACACACCATTACAATTGCTTGTTTCATCATGCTTTCATTTAACATTCATGGGACATTCGATTGCAATGAAGCATCGATAATTAGAGTATCACGACTTGCAATGCAAGCTCCAGCAAACGGACCACGTGCAAATATGATTATCATCATTGCGACGATTCCGTGAAAGCAATTCTATTCCCAACTTTTATATTAATCACTAATTTAATTTAATTTTTATAAAAATTTAGCTAATTCCCGAGTCGAAATTTTTAGCCTAGATTAAACCTACAAGTTTTGTCGAATTTGGAGAACCAATGTAAGCTTTAATTCATATATATAGATATAACATTACATTGGCTATTGCCCTCCTTTGATACTAAAAATTGTTACTTATTGCCGTTTTTTCCATGTGGAAGCTCAAAAGAGTACTTACTGAGAACCTCTAAAAAGGCTTCAGGTTCTATAAATATGTATTTCTAGAAAATAAATATTTAAAATTATTTAATAATCTATTATCTCATATACTTTACTTGCATTTAATGTATGGATCTTGATTTCAATAAACAATATATTAATTATTATAATTTGCTTAACTGTAAATTGGCTACTATAAGCAAATATTATATAAATAATATTCACTT